AAGTTTAGAGATTGTAGTTCAAGTCCGAGTCAGAAGCTCAGGGTCAGTTTGCTGTTTAGAAATTCCGAGGTCAGAGCTCATGAGGTCAGTTGTTGTTTAAAGTCCGATGTCAGAAGCTCACGAGAGTCTAGATATGTGTTCAAGTCCGATGTCAGATTCAGAAGGTTCAGTTGATGTTTCAAGTTCACGAGTCAGAGCTCAGAGCGTCAGTATGTGTATTATAAAATCAGCGGTCAGAGCTCATAGGTAGTCTGTGTTAAAAGTCAGAGTCAGAGCTCAGAGGTCAAGTTGTGTATTAAAGTCCGAGTCAGAGCTCAGAGGTCAGTTGATAGCTTATAAAGTCAGAGGTCAGAGCTCAGAGCTCAAGTTGTGTTAAAGTCAGAGCACGTCAGTATGTGTTAAAGTCAGCCGCACGTTCAGAGCTCATAAAGTCAGGGTGTGTTTTAAAGTCAAGAGGTCAGTTTGTTGTTAAAATGTCACCGGGTCAGCAGCTCATAGCGTCAGTTGTGTTAAAGTTTCGAAGTCAGAGCTCAGGGTCAGTTGGGTTAATTCAGAGTCAGGAGCTCAGCGGTCAGATGTGTGTTTAAAAGTCCGAGTCAGAGCTCACGGAGTCAGTTTGGTGTTAAAATCAGCAGTGCAGACGGTCAAGAGGTAGTATGTGCTTAAAGTACATGAGGTCAGTTGTGTTTTATAAGTCAGCCGAGTCAGAGCATCAGAGCGTCAGTTGTGTTCAAGTCCGAGTCAGGCTTCAGAGGTCAGTTGTGTTTAATTCAGCAGGTCCAGGCCATCATAGGTAATCAGTTTGCTTGTTTAAAGTCAGAGTCAGAGCTCAGAGCGTTCAGTTAGCTGGCTTAAAGTCCGATGTCAGAGCTCAGAGGTCAGTTCTCGTGTTAAAGTCAGAGGTCAAGAGCTCAGAGCTGTCCAGTTTTTGTCAATTGTTCAAGTCAGAGGTCAGTTGTGTTAAAGTCAGCGCGTCAGAGCTCATAAGATTCGCCAGTTGTGTTAAAGATCAGATGGTCAGTTGTGTTTAAAAGTCACGGTCCAGAGGCTCATAGGTCAGTTGTGTTAAAGTTCCGAGTACAGAGCTCAGCCGGTCAGTTTGACTGGTAAAGTCGAGTCAGAAGTCTCAGCGGTCGTATGTGTTAAAGTCCGAGTTCAAGAGCTCAGAGATGTCAGTTGAGTATAAAATCAGCGGTCAGAGGTCAGCAGGTTCCAGCTTGACACTGTTAAAGTCAGAGGTCAGTGTGTTAAAGTCAGCGGATCAGAGCTAGAGGTCAGTTTTGTGTTAAAGTTCGACGTCAGAGTCAGAGGTCAGTTTGTGGTTAAGTCAGCGGCGTCAGAGTTTCAGAGGTTAGTTGTGTTAAAGTCCGCGCGTCAGAAGCTCAGAGGTATAGTTGTGTTGTACAGTCGCGAGCGTGGAGAGGAGGAAGATATACCGCTGCCCGACCTCTACTACGCCCAACCCAATTGAACGTCGGGACAGGTTAGGCAATGTCCTCCAGCCACCTAGCATTGCACATGGTACACGATATCGTTGGTCGTCAGCGGGACAGGCGCGCGCCATTTCGGCGTATCCGAACAATCCAGCCTTCTTAAGAGCGTGCGCGAGATCAGTGTTCGCGGCTTTCGACCCTGAATAAGAACCCCCTGCGCGTGCTTCCGCATGTTGCTGTACACGAAAGCTCTTCAGGTCGCCCACACTCGAGGAACTAGTAAGACGCTATTGGACGGAGTTCGCGGTCGCGTACGATTGCCGACGAAGCCGTTGCACTCGTTCTGGAGATAGCGACAGTCCGCCGATGTTCGTCGCCTGCCGGCTCGTGCGTTAGGCGGCGATGTACTGGCTGGCTAGTTCCGGCGCAGAATTCCTCACCATGCACGACACGCACCGGAGTCGGTGTCGATGTGGCTGTCCAGCTCCGCCATGAATAGAGCGTACCGAAGCGACCTGAGGCGCGGGGCAAATAATCGTATGTTAAATACTGAATGTGTGTGTGATGTGTGTGTGTTGTGTGTGTGTGTGTGTGTATATCCTTTGTGCTGTGTGTGAATGATGTGTGTGGTGTGGGTGGTGGGGGTATGGTGTGTGGGTGGGTCGCGCGGTAATGTGTGTGTGTCGGTGTGTGTGTGTTGTTAGTAAGAGTGTGTCAGTAAATTAAATCATTCATGTTGCACTGAATTTTAATCAATTTACCCTTGGTTCCTAATCCTTCTGATATAGTACCACTGCGCGTAATCATTAACAGAATACTGTTAGAGGTTATGAGAATTACATACACACATCAATTCCTTCTCGTACCTTGTGTACAGATTACGATGAATTTAATGCGTGCAGGTCTCTGTTGACGGACGTTGAGCGACGCGCTTTTCTCTTGACCATCTCGCTCGGTTCGCCGAGCTGTGGAAGTGAAGAGACGTGGAAGCACTGGTCAGCGAGATACTGTTCCTCAGTCTGGCACGTGTGCGAGACTGCTTCGAATCTGTTCCGAATTCAGGGGGATCTGGAGGTTGTCAGCTGCGAAAAACAACGGCGGCTTCGTCTGTTCATGATAAACAACTGCGGACCTAAGCAATCGCGCTACATTGTCAGCGTTTTTAACGCGGCTGTTTGCTGCTCTGCTCGCTGCTGCTGCTTGTTGCTGCTGTTTGTGTTGATTGCTTGCTGCCTGCTCTCGCTGTTATTTGCTGCTTGTTGTATGCTGCTGCTGCTGCCCTGACTGCTGGCTGCTGCTACTCTAATTGCTGACTGCTTGCTGTGGATGTTGTTCCTGCTGCTATTTGCTGCCTATTGGCACTACCCGCATGACTGCTAGATACTACATTTGCTGACTACAGTACTATGCTGCCTACTGCTTCTGCTGCGGCTTACTCCTACTACTACTACTTATACCGCCTGCTTACTACTACTACTACTGCTGCTACTACTATTTGCTGCCTGCCTGCTATCTGACACTAACTTACTGTTGCTGCTTTGCTGCTGCTGCCCTGCCTACTATACTATTACTACTACTACTACCCTCACTAACTACTACTACTACTACTAGGTACTACTACTGCTGACTACTACTACACTCACTTCTGGCTATTGCTGCTAGAATAACACTAGGATTACATGATATGCTGAGATATAGGAGTTGACCTCTGAGCTCTGACTCGGACTTTAACACAACTGACCTCTGAGCTCTGACTCTGATTTTAACACAACTGGCCTCTGACTTTAACACAATTGACCTCTGAGCTCTGACTCGGACTTTGACTTTAACACAACTGACAACTGACCTGATATACGTCTGAGCGCGATGAGCGCGCCCCCTGGATGCTGCGTCGCAAAACCCGTATTTTAAGAACCCGTATTGGTGTTAGGTTCGACTCCTGCGTCCGTATTCGTACACGTCTTGCGTTATACAGTTATTTATACAGGATTTAATGCACGTGAAATGTTAATTATGTATTACATGCCTCTATATATAAAAATGCAAGTCTCGATTTTCTTTAGAAATCTTCCTACTAGGAAGTGAATTGTGATGATGATATTTCTAATACCCTACTAACGTTGTCGTATCTGTGGAAATTAGGTTCGTCCATAAGGATCTGGCAGCCAGGAACTGTCTGGTTGGCATGGATATGCAAGTGAAGGTATCAGATCTTGGGCTATCTAAGGAGCTCTACCCAGGAGACTACGTGAAGGTAAGTGTAATGCAGCCATAGATAATTCAAGAACGAATCCTTGTTAATTAGTAGCCTATGGTTTTAATATTTTATTGAAATTCGTACAACGAAACTATAATTGATTCTCCGAGCTTCCTTAGATATAGAATTTGAATCGCTCATAACAATAATTGATAAAGTTAGAGATTTATACTTATCATTTGTTCATATAACACAATCCAAATAAGTCTTCATGCTATCGTCAGTGATTTTCATATAGTCTGTAAACGCCATACTCTAGATAAGTTGCTCAAAAGTAAGTATCCTGTAAACCAGTCTGCTTTAGCGATCCTTGATCTGTTTTTACAATGTATCTGTGTGTGTGCGTGTGTGTGCGTGTGCGTGTGTCGTGTGCGTGTGCGTGTGCGTGTGCGTGTGCGTGTGCGTGTGTGTGTGTGTGTGTGTGTGTGTGTGTGTGTGTGTGTGTGTGTGTGTGAGTGTGCATGTGCGTGCGTGCGGGTGTTTGTGTGTGTGTGTGTGCGTGCGTGCGTATATGTGCTCTGTGCGTAGGCCCAAGCTACGCGGACTCACACGATTCGGAGATCACAACGACATAACGATCGCCTCTTGTCTTGTTGCAGATGTTGCGGCGATCGCTCCCGATCCGCTGGATGGCGCCAGAGTCGATCAAGGCCAACATCTTTACGCGCTACAGCGACATCTGGGCGTTCGGCGTGTTGCTATGGGAGATGTTCAGTTACGGCAACAAACCGTACAGCTACCGCGGCGACAACGAGGTCGTGGTGTACCTGACCCGCGGAGGACTGCTGATGAAGCCGGATAAATGTCCCGTGGAGGCGTACAACTTAATGCTCGGATGTTGGAAGGAGATACCGAGGGACCGCACCAAGTTCGAGGTGCTGCAAGCGAAGCTGAAGGATCTGAGCATCATGGAGACGTCGCTATAGCAACGGCAGGCGTTGCCAGGCATGCTACAGCACAGCACTAGATGGCGTGACTAATCGCCCCGCCCCATGAACGACGGTAGGGCCCTTGCTATGGGCCTTGCTAGTGCATACATCGCGGATGCAGAAATGAATGAGAGACACGTGTTTTCTACTTCGTTGTGCCAACATACAGAATGACGGAAACAGACTGGGGAGGGGGGGTGGACGTTGCAACTTCCAGTCTGTCGGAAGGACATCCGGTGAGCGCCATGTGGGAAGTGGCGCCATCTCGAGGCAGCAATGGGAATAAAGATATGTTTTTCCACACGCGCCTACTCGGCATAGAACATACAACGTAATAGCTTTTTATAAAGAAAAGTCATGCTGACAGAACTTTTAGCATCCGTCATGGTGAATGTTCATAGATATCAAGAACAAAAATTCATACTTGATACGAAAGTGGATCATTTCTTTATTATGCTGATTGTAGACGCTTATACATAATTGCAGCTTGTATAATAATAATAATTATAATAATAATGATAACAATAAAAAATGCGGCGGAGAGATAAAGGCGCTTGCGAGATTCTTACGAAATGCGTACAGAGTGGTGTCACTGGCTTTCTGAATCGTATCATCATTTCCAGCTCCCAACCCGCGAACCTATTGCTGAACCTATAAAATGTGGGTATACATACAAACGCGCGCACGTACGACACGAAACAATAGCTATAATGTCATAGCTCTAGTTTCTCTGACCCCCGCTGTAATGCAGTGAAGGGCAGCGAAGGTCATAGTAACTAGAACTAACTAATACTAGCTGCCCTCTGGACTGCTGGGAATACATTCACATAAATCAATGCACGACAATATACGATTGCATGAACACCGATCGCTCACATAATTATAATATTTGGCCATAAATGCACATAATGTATGTACATATTGAATACATGCAGAGGTGGCGACGCCTTGTGAGCAATATACGACCGATAATAATGCTGGTCGCGAACAACTAGTAAACAAGAACCAACACGGTAACGGTGGACTCAAGACCAGTAGTAAATAATATCCCTATTATTGACTCTTGAGAAGCAGATAGGATCATGCGGCGCATTTCTGAGAGACAGGAAGAGTGGTCCCTCGCTCACCTCTGCCCCAGCAGCATCACTACGACTACCACGTCTGCCAACGCGAATGGTAGGCGAATATAGAAGAAGACTCGACGTGAACGTTACATGCTTTCCCGCCTTAAAGACAACATTCAACTGCCAAACGACCATCGACATCATCGCATTTCACTTCATTATTGTGTTTTGGTATAAGCCAACCGGGAGTTGCAAGCGATAATTCCTGTTGCTACACAATGAAGATACGAAAACTATTTGCTCTGACGCGACACGCACTCCTCGGGGTGTTTCCAATGTTAAAATGATAAAATTAGTAAAAATCAGCACGAATTGTATTTACTACCGAGGTCTTCGTGTTTGCTGCACTCGCTATCGCATGATAATTCCACGTAAATGCCGCTTACATGCCCGCCTGCGATCTAAATTGACATAGTGTTCGGTGTTTTTTTGTGAGTTTGTGCACAGCGACGTGCATGCGGTGGGATTGTGTGTTGCAGAGGATAATTCGAACGGCTTTCACGTGGAATTAATATGCGATAGCGAGTGCACAAACATGAAGACTTTTGGTAGTAAATAACATTTATTTATTTACCATAGTTTTATTATTGAAACGTTCTGCGCTCGAGTCGCATATCAAGCATACAAACAAAAGCCTGGTGTGCTGCGCATGCGTAGATTTCCGTACGGTCCATGCCGTCATTCACTTGCTATAAGCACTCGTCATCATAAGTTAAATTTTAGTGAGATAACGTTACGTTATAAGATGCATTTATAGTGGTGTCACATTACGACCAATATAGATTAGCTCATTATCAGCTTTCATCGTAATTATCCCAACCTAATTAGCCTTCGCTACCGCTACATGTAGGGACTACACGGGTGGAGCCACAACTTCATCGGACATTAATGTAGACCAATAATTATAAATTGTGCCATAGAAATGTTCTGTAATCTGGCAACACTATTGTAGGATCCCAGAATAGCACCAGATTATACAAATTTCTATAGCACAATTTATTGGTGTACTAATAATGCACCACAGCGTTCGCTTTTACTCATTCGCAATCTTCCAGGTGTCGTGTGCGGTGAACACACAAGCAATAAAACCGGCCCGTTGGTATTCCAACTGTGCGTTAACCCTAACGCACACCACTGACTACAATACAAGAACCAAACACGGGTGTAACATTCTAAACATGAGCACGATGCTGCAGAAATAAATAGCAATGTCGTCTAACAATAGATTCGAGAGGAAACGACGACGATCTCCGGTGGTGGGCGAATCCTGGCTACACATCACACCTACAGCTATTTCCACTGTCCGATAACGCACGACAAACCTAGCAATTTTACCTAGACCCAACCGGATGACGACTGGGTAGTTTTTTTTAACCGGTCCGCTCAATTGATCAGAGCCGGTACCGACACAGATAACAATGGTCTGCGTTGTACAAGGAAGGTGTGCATATCGTATGCTCGTATTTGGTCGAACCGCGCGTACCTCGCACATAAACGCGACGATGCGGGGAATCTAAGCTTTAAAAGGGATACGGAATTTGCCGTGTTGACACTGCGTGAGAGAGCAGCAAGAATCTACTACACTGTATATAAAATCGAATATAACGCGACGATGCTCCACGGCTATGTAACGCACAACGCAACGCACAATGCAGGGAAGAGTGAGAGAGAGAGAGGGAAAGAGAGAGAGAGAGAGAGAGAGAGAGAGAGAGAGAGAGAGAGAGTTTCAGCTGAGAGAGTAATAGCCTGTAATCCGTTTGGATGGTTCAGAGAAGACGGTCCGTGTCCCATGGCAGACATCTTCTAATGGCAACCGTCTTGTCTAACTGTGCG